AGGCTGAGACAGAAGGATCACACATCTCAGGCCAGGCTGTACAAGTTAGCAAGATCTTGTCTCAAAATAGTAAAAAGGGCCAGGGGTGTAGCTCAGTAGCATAGTGCCCCCAGCTTAGATCCAGTATTATAAATACATACATACATACACATATATTCATACATACCAGAGAGAAGGACTTTATCACTCTTTCGTTCAGCCCTCTGTGGGCTAACTGGTGCCCACCCTCCATGCCGAAGGAGGAGCCTCTGAGTGATGTGCCAATCAGAAACAGAGCTTCCCTGGGCATTCCTCAGTCTAAGTTGATGCATACAACTAGCCATCACCCACCACCTTCTGATGACAGTGGAGATGGATCTGCCCAGTGAGAGAGCTGTGTAATGTTATCCAAGTCATTCCCAGGAGTCCTGCCTGGGCCCAGCATCTCCAGATTTCCAGACTGTATAAGCACCCAGTGCTCTGTAGAAATTCACATTCCTTCTCCGTGAGCAGGAATGGTTTGCTTCCCATGAGCAGACCCTGGATGTTACCGTCACGCATGGAACACTACTTCAGATTTTCAGTTTTTTATTCTACCAAGTTCTAACACAAAGTAAGCTATGAAGGCCTTGGGTGACCATTTTAAAGGTGGCATTGATATTTTTTCCTGATAGAAAAATATGACTAATAGAAAATAGAAGAATATCAAATACAGAAAACGATAAAGAAGCATTTTTGTCACTTCCCTCATTACTGGGACCCAAAAGCAACAAATGAAACGAGGGAAGGTTTATTTGGCTCACAGTTTGTAGAGGTCTCAGTCCACAGTCCACTAGCTCCAAGGCAGGGCAGCATGGTAGAGGGAAGGGCAGGGGACAGCTGCTCAGGGCATGACACACAGGAAGCCGTGAGAGCTCAGGAGGAGCTGGGAAGGGAGCTAGATCCTTCCAGGCCATGCCTGCAGTGACCCACCTCCTCGGCCACTCGACAGTAAATCAGCTGTAAGCCCGCGTAATTCTGTTACCTTCCAAAAGCCGTCTATGTGTGCAAGAGGCTCTCGGGGAATACCTCGACATAGACCTAATAGGGAATGAGTTCAGATCGCCCCATTCCTCCCACCCAGAGACCCCAACCTCGGTTCTTATTTCATTGAACATCGCTCTACATGTTCTTTCAAACTGCATTTTGGCACACATGTGCAATTACATGCACACTCGCATGTGTCACTGAGCTGTTCAGGTGTCAATACTGTGGTCCAATTGGTCCTGAAGGTTCAAATGTCCACGTGCCCTGCACTGGTGACAGCAGGAAGGGAGACGCCAGCGCAGCAGTTCTCTCCGCAGATCTTACCACCTCCCTCTTCGTTCAGAGGCTCTGGTCCCTCCAGGTGGCTCGGGTGGAAGCAGTTTAAGTCCCTCCTGGTCCTATGTCAATGTGTAGCTGGGGTGGGAAGGCATGGGTGACGGAGAAGCAGCTCGTCCGTGGTAATATCCCAAATTGTGGGTCAAGTTCACGACTTCAAAAACGGCCACAGGGATGGAAGCCAGCACTCCCCCAGAAGGAGAGGGGCTGCGAGCCAGTCATGTGGCCCTTCCATCCAAGCCCTTCCCACTGCCTGCCTGCATTGCCGCCAGGCTGTCACAAAGATTGGGGAAGACTGTGCTGCAAAATTGTTCCCTCCACCCCCCGCAGCCGGCTTTCCTTGGAGTCACACAAAGGTCTGTTACAACTTCTCCCAGGACAATAAGCCACTCACACTCCCCCGCCATCCCTAGGGCCTGCTGGCCCCGGGCAGACCACAGCGGCTCTCTGCCCTGGCTTGTCCGGACAGCAAACTCAGGGAAAGAAAACCAGTGCAACCTCCAGCAGGAAGCCTGCTGTGCCCCTACTAACCCCACGCCACACAAAGACGGTCATTTTCCTTCAGCAGGATAATACCAGATACCCTTTGTACCACAATTTTAAAAAATACAACCCTCAATAATGTGTGCAGATAGCTTTCAATGGCATGATGTTTCTAAGAAATCGGTTGGATCACCGGGCAAGTTATCCTAAGAATTTCTTCAAGACCTGCTTATGAATTTGCCTCCCAGGTTCAAACTCCACCAGGTTTTGTGCTCATTGAACAGAGCACAGACCTCAAACTTTCAGTTACCTGCCTCAGCCTTGCAAGTTTCTGGGATTCCAGGCCTGTGCCACCGTGCCTAGGGTTATGGCCTGGTCCAGTACATAACTGTTTACCAACTGAACACCTTGAGTTGTGTCTTTTGGATAGAATTGATGTGAACCAGGGCTGGAGACGGGACCCAACACAAGATATGAGGTAAAGTTCAGGGGATCACAGGGGTACAAGGGCTTATCAAACTGTCACCCGGTCTGCTTGAACGACTTTAGTGACAGAACCCACCACCACACCAAGACATCCCTTAGCCCATCTCTCCCCTGCATGTCGTCCTGATCCAGCAGTCATTCCTGTGTGGATGCAGAGTTCACCTTCCTGAAAGTTCCAGTTCTGATAGTTGAGGCTTTTTTTGAGGGCGGGTGACTGCCTGGTATTGAGCACAGAGTTGCTATATCACTGAACTATATTCCCAGCCCTTTTTAATTATTTTGAGACAGGATCTTGCTAAGTTGCTTAGGTTGACCTCAAACTTGGGGTTCTCCTGCCTCAGCCTCCCAAGTTACTGGGATTACAGGCCCGTGCCACCATACCTGGCTACTTGATCTCTAGTTACCCCTTAGAGTGGTAGAGGCAGCTCACTTCTGCACTTCCCTGGCCTTCCTCTTCCCTTAACTGCCCTCTGCTGAGGTCCCAGAACTCTCCAGGCACATTCTCCTTCCTGGCTCCCCTCAGCTCCACGAATCCCTGCTCACGCATACGGAGGCCACCATGGCCCTGACTCCCCTGGGACAGAGGGAGCCCAGGGCTGCTCCTCCACAGTGGGGAAGGAAAAGCTGCTTCACAGAGGTGCTCATAGATGCCAAGGGCCCAGACACCCCAAGAAACTGCACAAGGAAGAGGGAAACTGCTTCTGAAAAGTGTGAGGCAAAGTTATGGAGACTGAGTCATGAAAGGCTGCCCTGTAGTTGTTTCTGAGGATATTTTGGTGTAGGGGACATCTCTCTCCTGACCTCCTGGAACCTTCCGCAGATCCCTTCCATCCTCTTGCCTTAACCTCTTGTCGGTCAGCTTTCTGATACCCACAGCCACTGACGCAGGAGCAGCTGGTGCAGGGCTCTGCAGAGGGGCCCTCGGCCCCCCCACAGAGGGGCTGTCAGGGGCTGAAATGCATCTCCACAGCATGTACTGGGTTTTGCTTTCCTGTCCTGATGAAGCATCGTGGATGTGAATGTTTACAGAGTTTGGCAGAGTTTCAGTTTCCATCAGCGAATGGAATCTCCATGATGGTTTCGTTGGGCTCACCTCACCTGCACTCTGGGCTGTTCTGGGCATTGAAGAACTTCTCACAGGCTGGAAGTGGGGGGGGGGGGTTAAGAGCCTTCTCCCTTTCTGTGGCACCTTAGGGTCATGCAAACGTCTGGGATCTGTCTTCCTGGCTCCAGAAGGAAGGGGATGATGCTCGTGACAAGTCTGCTTTATGTTGGGCTCTTGTCCCACAATTCTTTGGATGGTAGGGGGCACTGGGGATTAAAGCCAGGCCCTCCACATTGAACTACAGTGCTAGGCCTTTTTTTTTTTTTTCCAAACAGGGCCTCCTCCCGCCTCAGGCTCCCAGAGTGCTGGGTGACAGGAATGCTCCACTGTGCTTGGCTGGATGGGACCTCTTAAGGCCAGGGTGGGCCGTGTCCAGTGTGACTCTCCATACCTTCACTGCAAGCCATGGGCAGCCATGGGGAGGGGCTCTGCAGGCCCCAGAGCTCCTTGACCGGTGTTGGCTGATGAGCCATTCTTTATAGGCACTGTAGATGTGGACCCTGCCCGGGGGCCCTGCTCTCATGGAAGGGGTGGACAGCAAGAGACTAGACCAGTGAGCATGCGAGATGACCATGTGCACGCTGAGTGTTGTCAGAGAAGCAAGCACGGGCTGTGTGGGATTACAGGAAAGTGACCAAAGGAAGCCTTTGCTCAGAGGTGACAGATGAACAGGCAACAGGACCAGGGAAGAGTTGGCCATGATTTGTTCTAAGAGAAGGGCATTTTGGACAAAAGTATGTGCATGTGCAAAGGCCCTGAGGCAAAAAAAAAAAAATTTTTTTTCAAGCCTCTTCAGAAATCTATAGAAGGCCAAGGTGACCAAAGCATAATTAGAACAAACTCTGTGTGAGAGATGGTGACTCCTCAGGGAGCAAGAACCTGCAGTAGGACATCCAGGATCCCGGCCCCTGCCCTGTCTGTGGCAGCCTTGTGTGGGGCAGCCTGGGCCCCTTTGCACAATGATCAGGATGGCCATCCAAGGCTCCAGACTTCTAGAGAAGAGATTTATTCCCCACGGTCTCCTATGCTCTGCTATGCCCATTACCCCAGACCCCTACGACTGGTGTCTTCCTCATCTGGGGATTGCGAGAAAATATCAGAACTCTCACTCCCGTCCTGGGCCTCAGCAGCCAGGGGGAGGAAGGAAATTCCCAGAGTCTTCTCCCAGGGAGTCTGCTTGTGTTCCCAGGCTGACAACTGGCAACAGTCAAAGCTCCATCCCCCACCCTTCTTCCTCCTCTTCCTCCTCCTCCTCCTCCTCCTCCTCCTCCTCCTCCTCGTCCTGCCTCCCTCTGTCCCCTGCCCCCCTCCTGGAGCTTAATGACTTCCACATGGGCCTCTGGCGGCTGGAGCCAAGCCTCCCAGCATTGTCTGAAATCTCCAAATTTAGAAGAAATATGAAAATTGTCAACCACTCCTTCCTTAGGGGGTAAAAGCAACATTCGGCACCAGGGGCAGGTCAAGGCGAGGCAGTCACGTGGTGGGTGCCCGGGCCAATGGGGGACCCTGGGAGGACCCTGCGCCCGCCTCTCCGCAGCACCAGGCTCGCCTCTTCAGCTCTTATAAGGTAAAAGGCAGAGAGGCCTCTATGGCCAGGGAGTCGCGGGCATGGGGCTAAGGGGAGGGGGTCCAATGCCAGTTGCTTAAAAATGCCCCGTGGCAGTGAAGGGGGCCAGGGGCCGGGTCAAGTTAATTGCGAAGCAGTGACACCCCCCACCATTCCCCACACAGGCTGGCCCCCCATCGTCAGGCCCAAGGAGCCACACCTGGACCAGACTCCAGGCAAGGTAAGAATGAGCAAGACACAGGCGTGGCCGGCACCGTGTGTGCGTCCTCCTCCCCAGGAGGCTGCATCTGCAGGTCTTATCCTTGTTTTCTAGCTAACAGCTCAGCGCCTGCTGCCTCTCTGGCCTCAGTTTCCCTGCCTGTACAAGGGGTGGATTCGGCGATCTAAGCGTGGTGGGTTCTAACTTGCGTTTCCGCTGGCAGGCAGAACTCTTGCGTTGTGCAGTGAAATGGGGAAGTGGGGGTGCAGGAGTAGACAGAGGTGATGCCCGAACTCATCCTCTGTGCCCAAGTCTGGGATTCTGTAAGGCCAGTGCTCTTCCTTCTTGTGGGAGGTTTTGATTTCAGTTGGAAGAGTCTGGGGCTCCCGGTAAGGAAAATAGTTGTCAAATAATAGCTGCACGAGACCTAGCCGGAGGGAGCGCTGTGAGCCCAGGCTCCACTGGGAAGCAGAGGCGAGGAAGGGCGCTGCGGTAGCTGTGCATGGAGCCGTGGGCCCAGCTCTGCCCTCGGTGCCTGGCTCTGTGGCCCTGGACAGGCACTGTCCCTGCCTCCCTGGTGTCTCCTCATCTATACAAGGGAGCCACTGGACAAAAGGATCTCCGTGCAGAGGTGGCTTCTGAACCCACTGAGCCTACGGCAGCCAGTGTTCCAAAGTCACCCCAAGGCCCCTGAGCGGAGCCTGCCCTTTGATCAAGGGCTCAGAATCTGAGCAGATGCCCAAAGCCCCAGGGCTTTTGGAGGCTGAGTGTGAAGGAAAGGAGGGTGGCTTCAAGGTGACTGTCTGAGGGCACAGGACAGCCGTCCTCAGGACTCAGCCTCAGGTGAGCCAGGGCTGATCTCTGGACTCAGCAACACAGGGGCGCTGGACCTTGAGGCAGGAGGGGCTGTGAGCAGGTGATGTGTGGTCCTGACCCCCTAAGAAAAAGGCAGGAGACTGCAATGGTGCGGCAGAGCTGGCAGAGGCAGGGGCTCAGGGAGGCGACACAGGGACACATGGGTAGTGCCTACACAGCTTCCTCTCAACACACACGGGCTATACCTAGGCCCAGATTAGAATGTAGCCTTCCAGTGCTGGGCTGTCTTGATGGCATTCCATCCTGGCTTGTTTACTTAGTAGCAAAGTGACCCTGGACAAGTCACCTGCCATCTGGGCCTCAACTTCCTCTTCTGTGGAATGGGTACAGTCCTGGCTCTCACCCATCATGGCTGTCATGAGGAACACAGGACATGTTCCTCTGAGCACAGGATGGAGTGACAGGACAGAAAGGCCCCATCCCTCTACTGGGGCTAGATGACAGTATCCATGTGTAGAGAGAAGGAGCAACAAGACCAAGGCATGGAAAGCAGGGCCACGGAGGCAAGGACCAGCTCCCATAGCAAGTAGCCAGATGAATCGGGAAGTGTAGGAGGGGGGTGAAGAGCCATCAGTGTGAGACTCTCAAGAGCCAAGTATGGCCCTGTCCCTACAGGCAAGCAGTGTCCCAGGTGTCTCTGGGGTAAGGGGTCTGAGCACTGCACCCTCACTCCGGACAGGGAGCCCAGGCAGGACCCAAGAATCCTCAGCCGAGGCCCTAGGACCTGTCTTAGCTTCTGGGAGTTCTGCAGGACAGCAGGAGCACTTCAGGGTCCAGGGCAGTGGCAGCTCAGGCCCGAGCTTCACACCAGCTGTGCTGGGCTTTGCCTCCTCCTGCTGTTGTCTGATAGTTCTGGGGGATTCTGAAGGTCCAGATCCCCACAGGCCCCAGGCAGCTGAAGCAGCCCAGGGAACGAATAGCCATAGGTTCCACTGTGAGTCTTTAGCAGAGAGAACAGAATGTGCACTGCTGTGCTGCAAGGAGCTCCTGGAGGTGGTACTATTAAGGAGCACTGTGTGGCATCCTTCTTCAGGGCACAAGGAGGTCCCGAGCTACACGATGTCTTTGTGTGAATAAAGTAATTTAATCCTCAGAAACCCTGTGAAGTAGGTATAAGTACCCCCATTGCTCAGATGAGATACTGGAGGCACAGAGACATGAACTAGCTTGCCTGAAGCCACACGGCTCATGAATTGTTAGGCTTAGACATGGTGCATGCTGGCTGCCCAGCTGCTATCTCCCCCAGGAGTCTCCCGCCTGCTGTCCTGCCCTTCCCCACCCTGGAATTCCTGAGAACCTTCCATGTCCCTGGTAGAAGGGGGCAAAATCCGTATGAGAAACTTCTCAGGAACCAGATACAGGCTGAACCATTTGTGCATCGTTTGAAACTCTCAGGGTTACTAAGAATAAGGGTCAGCACGATCCCATCATCCTCAGTGTACAGAGAAGGAAACCACGGCAGCTTGCCAGGGGTCACGCAGCTGGAATGTAGCAGGGGGAATGTGACCCAGCCTGGAGCCTGACCCACATGCCTGCCCGCTGCCTGTTCTGGGTTTCCAGGCGGCACAGTGATAGTCACGCCCACCTTACCTTCTAGAGGAGACCAGGGCAGTGAGGGACACCCAGTGCTTGACCAGGCCTCTTTACACCGAGGCCCCTGCTCTCCTTCAGACACTGGGTCTGCTGCCCTAGCTGGTCATCAGTCCCTCGGGCACACTGCAGCCCTAAGGGCCGAAACAGCCTTTTCCTGCTGGGCCCCTTCCAGGGAAGAACAGATTAAATGCACAAAGCCTTGAGGAACGGAAAGTTCAAGGCCTGAGCCACCACTGCCCTGGACCTCAAGGGGCTCCTTGAGATGGTCTCTGGGGTCCTCACGCCAGGCTATGCTGAGCTCTGCCTCCTCCTGCTATGGTCTAATAGAATAAATAGTCCACGAGCTCAGGGCCTCTGGTTGTTCAAAGAGCCATGATAAAGTCAGTTCAAGTTGCATTATGTCCATTTCTGCGTCCATCTCCCGGTTCACAGAAGCCAGACAGTCTGGGATTTGCATCCCGAAGGAACAGCTGGGTATGTGCAGGAAACAACCACCTGATTATTTTCTGCAGTGGCTGAGTGAGCCGCCTCTGTCTCCTCGTGGATATTCCCTTCTTCCTGAGCACACTGAGGAGAGTCAGAGTTCCTGGGAAGTGTATGTTGCCCCTGTGTTTCATATATGTCACACTTCCCTAATAAACACTGTCAGGGTGGAGGCTGGGGTGGCTCCGTGGTAGAGCGCTTACTTAGGACCAGCCAGGCTCTGCACTCCATCACTAGCACCCACCCAATAAAGGGAAGGGAGAAAGAGAAATAAAATGCATGCGCGTATTCTGCAAGAGCCTATGCTCTTGTCCATGTGGGCGTCTAAGAATCTGCCTTACATGTGCCAAATAGCTAAGACAGTGAACCCTGGACACTTTGTGGGCCTCAGAGTGGGAGTAGACTCCACTCACGTGGCCCCTCTAGGCAAGCGTGTCCATTGCCCCAGTCCGATCAGCACCGCCTGGGATGGGGAGCTGCAGCAGTTGTGGGGAGCGCCTACCATGGCTGCCAGCGCAGCAAACAGCCTGTCTAGACAGGCCCCGTGGGGTCATCAGCCTGGAGCCCGGAGACAGCCACTCCCTGCTTGCAAAAGAGGCCTGTGGCAACAGTGCTTCCCCACAGAAGCCTTTTCTCCAGTTCCAAACACGCCCCATCGCACAGTCCGGACGCCTACTTTTCAGGACTGCAGGCTGGAACCATCTGGGCTTTGCTCTAGTTAGCCGAGGAGGGAAGGCTGACTCCGGAGCTGGGGATCCCTGTGTACTGCAGTGACAGAAGCAGGGGGACGTGCAGCTGTGCTATAGGAGTAAAGCTAAGTCGCCTTGTACCAAAGGTGCCAGGTGGGAGCCTGGGTTGAATCCCGTATGTGCCTCCCTGTAGCTGCGGGGCCCTGGGCAACCTGCACAGACACTCTGTGCCTCAGCTGCCTCGGCTGTGAAACAGGGTCCTGTAAGGGTGGGCCACATCCACTTGGGGACTCCGTGGCCCTTCGATCCGCTTTGTCACTTCCCTAACCTATCAAGGGTGGCTGACTAGATCAAGACTGGGTCAGCAGCCACACTTTGGTTCCTCCGTGAGTCCTACCGAGCTGTAAGCCTAGACCCCTAGACTCAGAGACACCTCCTTAGACCCCAGCTGTGCTTCAGAGAGGCAAAGAAACTGCAGCCTGGAGCGTTCTGGACCCACAGGCCTCATGGTGAGTTTGCCCAGCTGCCGCTCACTTCTGCCCTTATTTCCTGTTTCCTGGAAGGAAGCAGATAGGGCAGAGTCTCCAGAAGGCAGTTACTGGCCTCACAAGGGCACCGATGGTGACCAGGACACCACCCTGGACCGTGCTGCTGAGCTCACAGACCTCTGGGAAGCATTCTCAGAGACTGCCAGACCTTGGACACATGACCAGCAACCCCCAGATTCTGAAACCAGCCACTGAGATAACTGAACAAGACAGGCAGAGAGAAAGAGCAGCCGAGGCCTGCCTCCTTTGCAGCCCACACACTTGAGGAAGTGCCCCTGCCCGAGCTCTTCGGGCCTGAAGCCCACTGCTTAGGATGGAACAGGGATAGTTCGGGTCATGCCCTGAGCGCTGGTGGAGGCCAGGAGTGTGACAGCAAGGTGGAAAGGCTGCAAAGATGTTGGCTAGAAATCAATGCTGAAGCACAGTGACTGGGGCCCGGTGTTGGTCTTAAGCTCTGTGAAGTTAGGTTGACAAAATGCTAGAGGCCTGGGTTGTGGAGCGGCTTAAACAACTGGAAACCAAAGCCTCAGAAGTTGGGCAAAGCTAAATCTGGCGGTGCATGTTGGCAATCCCAGCACTGTGAGAGGCTGAGGCCGAATCAAGGGCCTGAGAAACTTAGCAAAGTAACCAGACCTTGACTCAAAAATAAAACACATAATAAAATAAAATGCGCTGAGGATGTGCCTCAGGGCAAGCGCCCTGGGTTCAGTCTCCAGTGCCACGAAGGAGGAGGAGGAAGGTGTTGCAGCAAGTTCTCTTTGGCATCTTTCAGTCCTTTTCTTTAGCCTATTTGGCTCCTTTCTCTGAAAATACCGTCAGCCAAGAGCCCCAT